TCTACCAATCTACTACGTACATATCTGCTTGATATCAATTGCTCACGTACAAATAGATCTCGTCATCTAGCTACAAATCTACCTGCCAAGCTACTGCATGATATCTGATCAATTACTAATAGAATAGAGAATTATTGCTAGTGAGCAAGCTAGCTGTCTATCTAGCAATCTAGCCACCAATCTATCTACACAATGTCTGGTCAATTGTTAATAGAGTAGAGAACGCTACCTACCTATCTACCTCCCTACCTACCAACCACCCTGCCCGCTCAATATCCAATCAATCTCTATGAGAATAAACATCACCTATCTATCGATGATATCTAGTGACAATATATCTAGCAATTATATTCATTGATGATATATATAATATCAAAGAGTATAGCTTTTCTAAGCTCATTGCTCCGTCCAGCTTGCATGTTCCATGAAGCTCCTGCTATAGAGCGTTGTGCCTGAGCTTTCCAACTCATTGAAGGAATTAAAAGACGTTTTCATCCCTGGGATTTACTATATAGAGGTTCATTTGCCCACCCCCTTCTGGGAGTGATAGGGCAGGCTGCCTCTAGTATATACTTATAGTAGTTAGTAATGATATGTTATGGCAGGGATGTCAGCCGACGTGTAACCTGTTTTTGTTTCCAAGGTTGGCAGAGGTCGGGTCAGCTGACCTCTCCACTAGCGCGATCAGTTGAACTGTATCCTCGGGTCAGTTGAACTAATAGTCGTAACTCCTGGCCTTGTCACCGCCAGCAACTCATTGGCTCCCCGTATCCGTATTTGGAACCCAAGTGCAGGGGGCCGGCTCTTGCCCGCCTGCGCAATCCTTCCTAACCTTGGAAGTTCCTCAAGTTAGCACATCCATCCTCCAAACAACAGCCTTCTAGAACAACCCCACGCTGGGCTCCTCCGCGGGACTGTTCGGCTGACGAAGAGCTCTCGACGGACGAGTTGGAAAACGTCAGAGGACAGTATGGGGATTTATTTTTTTTTTATTTTATTTTTTTTTTTTTTTTCTTTGGCGAGCCACGACCCCGCAAGACCACCCACAGTTCCTTACTCTGTATGTATTCTGCCCGTAATGGGATATATATGTAAAGCGACGCCCAAGTTTTGTCATATGACTATGTCTTTCCATGGTTTGTTGTCAGTACAACTAGTTATACTCGATTGCTAAATGTGAAAATCATGGACTCTTATGGTTCCTGCACATGAACCACCCACAAACAGCACTTATCCCAAGCCGCATTCAATAATGAAGTCATGACATGCAGAACTGAGCTTTTTTCCCCCCATATTTATTGATTCATCATTCATTCAAGCACTGTAGGCTGCAGCAAGGAGTCTATGGATTTAATTCCTGTGCGGATTAGGAAGAAAAGAATTAAGGAAAAGGAAAAAGAAAACCAGGGACAGAAACTGAAACGGGAATGGAAATCGGCCATTGACAGAGGCAGAAAACAAACAGAGACAAAGAAAATGAACTCCATGTAACAGCAGTGAGTTTGCAAACCTACCTCTACATAGTATATATGTAGATATCCATCCAGAAACCCAGTATATCTTTCTTTCCTTTGCGTGCGTGTACCCGACTTGATCGACAAGTCGAGCCTGAATACTGGATTAGCGCTTTACAATATCTTGTGAAAAAAAAGGGGTGAAAAAAAAGGGGTACGAGACAAGCGTTGTTCCGAAGCCTGTGTCAGGGTTAACAGCATACAGAGGAGTCGAGTCGAACAGAGTGTTATGACTATTTACCAAGGCTGTATTTTAATGTATTATAGGAATAAATGAACTGAGAGTGATTGGTTGTGTTGATTTGAGCCATATGATCTGCTTCTCACCACTGCATCACTGTAACAATCAACATGTACTAGCAATCCTGTCAAGGGTCTCTCCAGCGGATGTGCGCAGCAGTGACGGAAGAGGTACACTATTCAACCAAGTGACAGGAAGTTCTACCAACAGTCAAATAAATCAATATAGCCTATCATTGTTCCAGATCATCTTTAATAACTTCTCCCTAGTCCTAACATTAAGTCCTGATCAAATATCGTGGTCATCGGTGGATATAGTAGTTCACAAGACTCGCTGATAGCTCGATCATCATGTTTACTAGAAATTGGCTTCCTTTGTCGCAGCCATTGATCCATATTAGGGTCTTTGACTAAGTGCGCAGTCCTGCGGAACAAGGATGATGGCGGTTTTACCCACCTCATCATAGTAGTCGTGCATGCATTTCTATCTGTTTTGTCAAAAATAGACACGGTAAGTATCCCGGTGACAAGAGATTGCCATTGACTGACAGAGAAGAAAAGGGTTGGTGAAATAAAGGAACAAGAAGAAGATGAAGAAGCACTCTGGGTGAAAAAATGGAATCTTGATGGAGGCAAAGCCACACGGCACCAGCCACACATCGTCAACCACTAAGATGGTAAAAGAGCAACAAACATTCCAGCCAAACCCCTCAATTCACAAACAGACATTTTTGAAATCATGAAGACAGATGTGCTGACATGGCACTGCACCCCTGTGAATATCTTCTTTTTACCCATTCATTTCTTCAAGTCATATGGAAGTATTTTGATTCTATGTAAGCCCCGCCAAAGCTACAAAAAGCCAAATCCTCGCGCTTGTTCGTGCGGCACTATATCAACAATCGCTAACTAATTACCTACCTTTCGACTCCTG